CTTTTCCAAACAACTCATCTGCTGTTTAAAAATCTCCTTTCTCAGTACAGTACCTAGATAGTGATGTGATTTGTAGTGTCTGTTGCTGCAGACACTTCACTATAAATTAGATCTTCTAACTCTCAGACCCATTATTTTCTCTGAGGTCACAATATGGAATGTTGTGTTACAGAGAAACCCCAGGGGGGAATGAGTGGCCTGAGTCATTAGTCCTAACTCACATTCTTAAAAATTCAGGACAAGACCCAAAAGAAGACACACAGAGAGGAAAAAAGTTTATTCACAAGGTGAGTGAGGAGAGAGAAGGAGAGGATTAGTTGGCCAACAAGTCCTATCACCAACACTATCTGAGCTGGGACACCAGGATGCAAGTTGAAGAAGGAAAACAAGAGTCGGCATGCTTGTGTTCAGTTATAAGCCCAGTATGGCCATTAAACTCTGCCCGAAGTTTCCAGTGGTTCCCTGTCCAGGTAGTCAGGCCCATGGCATGCTGGGATTTGCAGTCATGGGCTCTTGAGATCTTGGGTGACATGGAGATGGGAGTGGAGTTCATTCAGAACATCATTCTCTGGCTCTATCAGTTGCACTAAAATTATTATTCACTAAAATATATTGATTTAAAGATAATAGTACATCTTTGTACACTACCACATTTGAACTGAAAACTTGTGGTAGATATAACCTATTCTTAGTTTACCCAAAAATTCTTATTATATGTGTTTTTTTGAAAATGTGGTTGAGTTGGTAGTGCAGACTAAGAAAAAAATCAAACCACAACTACTGAAAAAGGGGGCTCCATTGAGATAAATAAGCACATTTAATGCATAAATCAAGAACCTTATATGGAAGAGAAAAGTTGATATTCTTGAAAGCTTATTGTGTGAATTTATTCTGCTTTTATGGTCTAATCCTTTTGCCCTAAGGCAAAATGTAGTTTGAAGTTATCTTAGGCTGATAGTTCTCTCAGTCACCTGACAGGAATAATCACAAATCCTCTGTGAAGAAATGCAATTAAAGACTCCAAACCTCAAGTAACTTCTACAGATGAATTTGTGAGCTTATATATATTTTAGAATTTTCAGAATCACTCAAGACACAAGAAAATCATCATCATTCATGATACACAGTAGCAACAACAAACTGTAAAATCAGATGCACAAACACTGAAGAGTTTGGATTGCTAATTTAACAGATATATTTTAATGTGTTTTTTAAAAGGAAATTTGAAAAAAATGAAAGAAAAGGAGACTATCAAATTTGACCAAGGAGACTAGAAAAAAATTAAATAGAATTTTAGTATTTAAATCTGACAGCATCCTGTCTAGTTGCCTCAGGGTCTTGCACAAAATGGAGGGTTTTTATAGACCTGTGGGCCAAAGTTATTAGCAAAAGAAAAGATAATTTCAGGTGAAGCCACCTTCCTTCAGGGCAAGGCAGGTGGGTATCACCTGCAGATGACCTCCTAGTGCTGATTGGGAAGCTTCACATTGACTAGTTTAATATATACTTAAGCATAATAAATAATAATTCTGGGTGGAAACCCAGCATGAAAGACTCCATTTTTAGCCTGGTTTTTCTATTTTTTTTTATGATTTACTTATTTATGCATACAAGAATTGGGATACAGGCTAGTGGTATGTGTGTGGAGTGGTGGTGGTGAGAATATACACTGGAGACAGGGAACAGGACAGGCTGGCTGACTTAAATACACTGCTGAGGGGAGCAGTGGGCTAGAGAGGAAAGGTCTGCTGTGCCATGTGGGTAGATCTCTGGCCAGCAGGGGATCAAACTCATACTGCAGAGGCTGTGGACAGCTTCACAGTGCTGTGCCTAACTCCTTGTGTCACCATGGAAGGCCCTGGTTTTTCTATTTCTAACAAATGAAAAAAAAAAAAAAAAGAATATGGATGACAGAAATAGAATGTGACACAGCACAAGTGAGAATTACTAAACTGAGTGGTACATCTGGAAGATACACAGAATTCGGCATAGAGGAACAAGATAGAAATGTGAAGCAAGTTTAAGTAATAGGAGAACTTGAGAGGGATGACATGGATCTAATTGAAATTCCATACAGAGAAAAGAGAAAATGAAGAGAGAACACTTGAGGAGATGATAGCTGAGAATTTTTCACATAGATGAAAGATTTAATCAATCTTTAGATTCAGGAATCCCAAGAAATCCTAGGAGTAAATTACCTTGGAGTAAAATCAAAGAATACAAACCAAATCAAAACATCAGCCAACTGAACACACAGAAAGATCTTCAGAAAGCAACAGGAGAAAAGTTTGTCACTTAAAAAGGGAATGATTACCAGATTTACAATTGACTTCTCAGCAGTAATAATAGAAACCATAAAACAATGGACTACTTATTACCTTCAAGATAATTGAGAAAAAAATAAGTATATCCTCAATATAACTATTCCTCATATATGAAGGTAGTCTAAGGATAAATTAAAATTGAGCATAGTAACTAAATGTCTTCATTAAAGAAACGTCTAAAGGTAACTTAGGAAGGCAAATAATTATTCTAGAAGGGATGTCTGAGATTTAAGAAAAAAAGTTGGACAAGGGGCTTCCCCTATGGCGCAGCAGGTTGAGTGCCACACTGTGAAGCTGTCCGCAGCCTCTGCAGTGTGGGTTCGATTCCTGGCCAGCTAGGAAGAAACCCACATGGTGCAGCAGACCTCTCCTGTCTTGCCGGCTGCTCCCCTCAGCAGTGTCTTCGGTCCGTCTGCCTGTTCTTCTCCCCACTCTGTCTCTGGTGAATTCTCTCACCCTCCCACTCCTCTGACCTATACCCCAGCTCTTATATAAATAAATAAATCTTTAAAAAAAGGAAAAAAATTCTTAAAATAAAGTTGGACATTTTATTTTTTTTAATTTCTAGTATGTTTACTCTGCAAGAAACAAAGGAGTTTAGCAGAAGATAACATAACTGCAGTTATCAAAATGACACAGACATTATTATCTTTTAATCTGGTGCACAGATTCTGTTTAGCTTTTTCCAAAAACTCTATGTGGGATATTTTCTCCAAATTCTTATTTATGGAATATATGTAAAGTAAAATCCCAAACAGAATTATAGATCCTTAAATGCAAAATTTACTATTACTGTATTTACAATAACATTGCTGCACTAACCTCCTTCCCTTTCTAGTATCTACAAAATTATTCTTTTTTTAAACCATTTTTTATTTTTTATTTTTTAAGGTTAACAAATGGTTTACTTACAAGGGAAGGGGAATGAGGAAATGTACAACTCAGGGACAAAAGAGGGAGATAAATTCTTAAATGTGTCCTACCTGTTCTGCCGACCTGGAATCCCAAATGACCTGCTGAGACCAAACCTGCCCGGCCAAGAGCTGGAGCCAGGTGTGCCCAACCCCACTAACATGGCTGGTTTTTATTTACAAACAGAGAAAATGGCTGCTTAACTCACCCTTAGGTCCTCTCCACTTCCCTTTGGGGATCCTGGGATTTGTAGTTCCCGGTGTCTTGATGGAGTGGGGGTGGCATCCACAAAGGCTGTTTGGAATTAGCTTCACTTTTTGCCATCATTTCCATGGTGTTGAAGATCAAATGTATGGATGCTGGGGTACAGTCTCAGATGAAATTTTTTCTCAGGGTTCCCATTGGAAAGCACACCAGTCTCTCCAAGTATTGTCCATTGTGGAAAGCAAAAGTCCTCTATTCCTGGGAAATAGTTTATCAGTCCAAGCCAAAACAAACAAACAAACAAACAAACAAACAAACAAAAAACCAAAAAAACAACAAAAAAAGAAAACAAAAAAAACCTCCCAAAATCTGAAGGCATTAGCCAAAACAAAACAGCAAAGATATCAAATCACAGGAAAAATATTTAAATTGATTCAACTTATGCAAAAACAGGTTCTCTCAACCTTGATCTCAAATTGTTTTAACAGTGTAGCAAAAGTTTGCAAACCAAATCTACTTTTAAACCATATTACCTATTTTTGTATAAAATCACAGGGCAGAATAACTAAACAGCAATTATAGCTTCTTTGTTGGAATACTCCATAAAGGATCAGAGCAGACGCTTGACATCCAGTCCATGTAGGCTTCAAGAACAAAGTTGGTCTCACCAGACTCCACCTGGTCAATTAAATGGATAAATTGTAGGATATTAGTGCTGTAGAATATTAATGCATTGAGGAATCAATTATAGCTATAGGCATTAACATGGATGTATAGAAATAAAACACCATTAAAGGTATGTACAGTACGATATCACTCATGTGTGGTTCAAAATTGGTAAATTCCAATGATATTTTTAGGAATAAACACCTATATGTGCAAAGCTAAGAATGTGCTAGGGAGTGATTAACACAAAATTCAAGTTAGCTATCAGGGGATACTGGTAATATATACATATGTATTATGTTATTTTCTTTTTTTTTTTAAGATTTATTTATTTATACAAGCACTGGGTACAGTCAGAAGCGTGGGAGGGTGAGAGAATTCACCAGAGCCAGAGCAGGGAACAGAACAGGCAGACTGACGAAATACACTGCTGACGGGAGCAGTGGGCGTGGCAGGAGAGGTCTGTGCGCCATGTGGGACCCTCGCGGGTGGCCAGGGATCGAATCGGCACTGCAAAGGCTGCGGGCAGCTTCGCAGCCCAGCGCTCAACCACTGCGCCACCAGGGGAGGTCCTATATTGCCTTCTTTTCTATGGAACAAAATAATTATAAAATTATCAGTCATATGAAAAGGTGGTGGGAGAAGGACTGAGGATCAGCACAGATAGAAACCTTGAGGATAAACGGTTTGAGTATCAGAAAAATGCTCTCTCACATGGGATAATCAAGAGTTTCCTATTCTCACCCCTGTCCCAGCTCATTCTTACATATTGCCAAGGTGCATTTTCATGCATGGTGATAAAATAAAAAAAAATCATGCTTTTATTATTTGCATGTCTTCTCTTCTCTTCTTCCTTGATGTAAAATTATATATATATATATATATATATTCCAGGTCATAACTTTTGTGCAGAAGGACCTAAATGTGGTGAAAATTCAGAGTGCAAAAATTGGAATACAAAAGCTACTTGTGAGTGCAAGAATGGTTATATCTCCATCCAGGGAGACTCTGCCTACTGTGAAGGTAAGTCAGCTATTTTTAATGAAGTCATTTGTGAGAAATGTATTCCTGGTAGACATGATTGAATACCAAAAGCCATCAGTTGGCTCAAGTCTACAGGACCCTATAAGAAATCATATTAATTACCTAGGGTGCTCTGTTCTGGTTTATCCAGGCTGTTTAGTAGTAAAAGCAAGATCTTTGAAATTAGTTACAAGACACAGCAAAGCAACAAACAGAATAGGGCTAATAAGAAATCATATTAATTACCTAGGGTGCTCTGTTCTGGTTTATCCAGGCTGTTTAGTAGTAAAAGCAAGATCTTTGAAATTAGTTACAAGACACAGCAAAGCAACAAACAGAATAGGGCTATATCAGATCTCACTTCCTGTTGTACTTAATAGTCATCAACAAAACCATAAACATTGTAATTTCCTTTGTTCACTTGAGGAAATTGCCATCTCCAAGTTCAATTCAGTGTTATATGGTGGACCCTTTTTTTTAAAGATTTATTTATGCACAGAAGAGCTGGGGTACAGGCCAGAGATGGGGGGGGTGAGAGGATCCACCAGAGACAGAGTGGGGAACAGAACAGGCAGATTGACCAAAGCACACTGCTGAGGGGAGCAGCGGGTGAGATAGGAGAGATCTGCTGTACCATGTGGGTTGCTCCCTGGCCGGCCAGGGATCGAACTTGTGCTGCAGAGGCCACGGATTGCCTCATAGTGAGGTGCTTAACCCCTTGCGCCACCAGGGAGGCCCCCCTCTTTTTGAATGGTTCTTTGATACTAATCTAAATCCTTTCAACAACAAGATTAGCTCTGACACTACCCTAACTGTATGGTGTATTGTATAAAAAGGTAGTGTATAGTGTAACTGTATTAGAGCCTATTCATTTCTCAGGTATTCCACAAGAATTTGTAGGCTATTGCACAGTAGATCTTATTAGTTTAGTGAAACTCTCATAGGCAAAGAGAAACTCAGCAGTTTCTCTGTCCCAGTTGTACCCAATTACTCTGCTATCTTTGTGGTCAATATATTGAGCCATGGTGATCTGTCAGTCAGGAAACTCGGAATGAATGCTGCAGAATCTTGGTCACTCTCCAGTTGGTTTCATTTTCAAGTGGGTCAGGTATTCTCAAGGTAAAGACAATATTAATTGGCATGACAAAAATGTAAATTCCTTTTCATTCTGCTTTTATATTTTTGTTGACCCTTGCTTAACTTTTTGGCTTCGACTAAAGATCTGTCGAAGGAAACGTGAGTAATCACTCCTGCTCAGTACCTGGTAGGTAGCCTTCTTTTTGTTTCTTCTGGAAGACTTTCTCCATTTCTACCTTGGTTCTCATTAGTAATGCTAATTAATAGGGTTTCCCCCTCTCCTTAGCTTTATTTTGTTTACTTTGATAGATTTGAACTTGGTTAGAAAAACATGCCCCTGGAGAGCTTGAACTGCTCCTTTAGTTATAAACCTTTTCATGTACCCTTTAATATGTTAACTATTTGTCAATCTGAGGGAAGGGGAATATTCATTTCAGTACTCCAAACTGATATTAATTTTTCATATCTTACCTCATGCTATTTTCTATGTTTAGTCAGAAAACTAATTTTAACAATTAAACATGTGATTATTATCCATTCACCACGGAAAAATCATACAGATAATGATCCCCAAAATTGACTTACCTTCTACTATGAATGATTATAAAAATGGTAGCAGGGGCCTCAAAATAACCTGACTCCTGATGCCTTTTAATTAGCTGTTGGAATCCAAACACCTCCCACTCCTGGTACTCTCTCCATAGTTACTGAGGCCTGGCAGTACCTAGCAGGAAATTGTTGGTACAAATGCTATTTGGGAATCTTTGATTGTCATTCTCCTTGTTGGTACTATATTTTATTACAGATACTCAACTCCATAAGGAGCCATTTATGATATTAAACTTGCCCTTTGTGCATGATGTCTTATTTTATTGATTATGTTGAGCAATGTTAGGTCTAAATCACTGTTTTCTTGGCTTCTTCTCAACTAAGTGTATGAAGCTGGCCTGAGGCCAGTATACTTTGTGTTACCTTCTTGGATAACAGTGATGTGCTCAGACTTCAGTAGTTTCTCTGTTATCATGGAGACTTCCCACAAATTCCAGGGGATTGTTCACGGAGAGAAGAATTGCACCTGTGAAGAAATAATTAAGTATTGGAGACTATTTGGGGTATAAAAATGTAGTTGAGGGGGTAAAGCAGGGTTCAAATACTGGCATCTGCATAGAAGGTTTTGAGAACCAAGTATATTTAATATCCACTTTTATTTTTTAAAGATTATTTATGCACACAAGAGCTGGGGTACAAGCCACAGATGTGGGGTGTGGGGGTGTGAAAAGATTCTCCAGAGACAGAGTGGGGAACAGAACAGGCAGACTGACCGAAACACACTGCTGTGGGGAACAGCAGGCGAAACAGGAGAGGTCTGCTTCGCCCTGTGGGTTGTTCCCTGGCTGGCTGGGGATTGAACTTATGCTGCAGAGGCTGAGGATTTGTTCCACAGTGTGGTGCTTATCCCCTTGTGCCACCAGGGAGGCCTGAATATCCACTTTTAGAGTGCACCTCCTTCTCTTTATATTTTGCCAAATTGAGCCTTTTTGACTTTGAACTTGCTTACTTGTGGTTGCATGATTGCTGCCAATAGCCACTGCTTAGTGTGCTCGCACTAGCATCCCAAGAAAGGAAAGAAGGAAGGAGTAGGGGTTAAACATCTCTTTACATGTTTACAGAAAGTCCTTCCTGTAAGTTCCCTCTCCCCTTCATACTGAAGAAATCCCCTGTGTAACTTTTCAAACCTGGGTTACGTCTTCCCCATTCCTACACCAATGAGAACAGAAAATGGGATGATGACTGTCTCTGGTTTAGGCTAACTGTATTCATCCTCTGGAGCTGGAGTAGGGCTTGCCTTCCTTCCCTACGACCAAATAATCTTGACCTTTTGACTGAACCAAATAGGGTTCTGGAAACAGGAAGAGGGTAAGCATAATTTGGAGTGGGCAAAAATCCAGCTGTATTCATAATGGCCACATTTAGTTTATATCCACTTCCCCAGTTCTGTCTTCAGTATTACCCCATAGGGTGGTCTGATAGACGAGGTGAGAGGCCACTGAGCTCCTTCCTGAGTAGCAGAAACTCTGCTAGACTGAGTTCATTGTCTCACCATAGCCTAGAGAGAGTGGATACTTATGAACTGCCTTGGCAAGTTATTTTTTACTCTGAGTAAATTGAGGGAAAATGACCCATATTGTACAAACCACGATGAACAAGACTGGCTTACAAATTAAAACAAAATATTACACCCATTGTTCAGGCTATCTCGAAAAGCCTATTCAGGCTCTCAGTGGAAAAAGAAGCACAAAAGGCTTTCAATTTTCTTAACTTCCTAGGGTACTAGCAGAGATAGTGTATTAAGGACTCCTGCTCTGCAGAGATTGCTGTAGAAACTGGCATAGAGAAGATATTGGAACCCCTAGCCAATCAATAGAAGATAATAAGGCCCTTTGTCAGCGATGATACAATTCACAGGAGGTCATTTTATTTTGCTTCATCTGAGCCAAGCAGGAGAATTCCCCATTTGGAAAACTGCTTTAGTTGAATTTTGGTGTTTTATGAATCTGGTCCACTGAGGCCCTTTACCTTGGTGATGACATTTTCATTGCGTTGGTCTTAAACAATTTCTGATGCATTAGTTTAAATGTTAGATAGTGTTTGAGAAAAGTATAGCAATGAGGTCCTACTTGTGATCTTACTTCTTGAATATGGAGTCTACATAAAGTCTCATAAACTTCCTTTTGTAGTAATGTTACTTAAATTATGAGTGATGTGATGTCATATACATCATGCAATCCTGAGGCATGGAAAGTCTATCAGTTACCTACTATGTAAAAGTTACTACAATTAGCACTAAATAAGACTTTCCTTGTACTTTCCTTGTAGAGCTTTGTGATAAATTTGAGGAAAGTGACAACTTTGTCTAAATTAGCTCTGTTTTATAAGTGCAGACTTGAAGACTATGAGCACAAAAGTGAAGATAATATAAAATCATTTCTACTCAGGCTAGATGTCTGAGCCTTGCTGTCTCCCCACACCTCTTCCTGTACAATTTTGTAGAGTTGTTCCAAATATTTGCTAACCTCCTTGAACCAATGAAATATGAATGAATGTGACATGTATCATTTCGGAGTAGAAGCTCTAAGAGCTATTACAGTTTCCACCTCATTTTCTTTTCTCTCACACAAAACTGGCAGTGTTTCAGAGAAGAACTTTTCCTTAAGTTTGGGTCCCAGGATAAAGACGGCATGGAGCAGTAAACTCAAAGGTGATGGACATGTGTACTAGTGAGATGTAATTGTGTAAATAACTAAAATTTTGGAGGGTGCAATTATTTTTACCTTAGCGTCAAGTCCCCTGAATTAGTATATCTGCCTGAATTAGTTAATTGAAATCTTGTGGGTTTTGTAGAATACCTCTAGCTCAGTACTCACAAATGAAAGCAATTTTTGTACAGAACAAGCATTTAGTAGAAAAAGTACAAGTTGTGTGGATCATTAACATTCTGTTCTGGTTCTGCTCGTATGCAGTTATTTTTTGCAGGTCACAGTTGTAAATCTGTGCATTGTTATGGCCAAAGTCAACATGGGGAATTGGATTTATCAATTAAGACAATAACGAGACCAGTGCATTTCAAAAATTTAGCAAACTATGTGGTAGTAGCTAAACATTTAATGTATCACAACAGTTATCACCGTCATTGTCATCATTATTATTTGTGCAGCTCTTGATATTGGAAGAGTGTACACATTGAGGTCAATATTTTGAGGAAGGGGTTTCCCATATCCATATCTTCAGGAGAACTGGCAGGTGGCTGGGAAGAGTTTTTTTTCTTAATAGGAAGGGCCAGGCCGTATCAGTTCGTCCAGAAGCATGTCGCTAACAGTAGAGGACCACGTCTAATAATTTATAGTGACGAGCTCATCCCTTCC